CAAACCACTTTTCCCATATTTTATACATATGGAAAAGAAAGGTGCATTCCAGGTTCTTGAAGATAGTTATGTAACTGAAGAGTCTGGTACTGGAATTGTTCATCAGGCTCCATACTTTGGTGAAGATGACTATCACACGCGATCAAGACATGATTTGTCCAGTTGATGGTAGCGGGTGTTTTACAGCACCAGTTACCGACTTCTTAGGCCAGTATGTTAAAGATGCTGACAAGAACATCATAAAATGGTTGAAGGAAGCAGATCGACTTGTGAACTGTTCAACGATTAAGCACAGCTATCCATTTTGTTGGCGTTCAGAGACTCCGCTCATTTATAAGGCTGTTCCATCTTGGTTTGTTAGAGTTGAACAGATGAGCAAAGATCTTCTTAAGTCTAATCTAAACACATATTGGGTACCTGATTTTGTCAAAGAGAAACGATTTGGTAATTGGCTTCGTGAAGCTCGAGATTGGGCAATTAGTCGGAACAGATACTGGGGTACACCAATTCCATTATGGATGTCACCAGATGGTGAAGAGATAGTATGTGTTGGTAGCATTGCAGAGTTACAAGAGTTGACTGGCATAAAAGTCAGTGACCTACATAGAGAAAATATCGACCATCTGAGTATTCCATCAGTACGACCAGGCAAACCTCCATTAAAAAGAGTATCAGAAGTATTTGATTGCTGGTTTGAATCTGGCTCTATGCCTTATGCACAGTTACACTATCCATTTAAGCACAGAAAGGAATTTGAAGACTGTTTTCCAGCTGATTTTATTGCTGAAGGTATTGATCAGACTAGAGGATGGTTTTACACTCTACTGGTTATTTCAACTGCACTTTTCAATAAGCCACCTTTTAAGAACCTCATTGCAAATGGTTTGGTGCTTGCATCAGATGGACAAAAAATGTCAAAACGAAAGAAAAATTATCCTGATCCACTGGAAGTAGTAAACAGATTTGGTGCGGATGCTTTACGACTCTATCTTATCAATTCTCCAGTTGTTCGTGCAGAGAACTTGCGCTTCAAGGAGGAAGGTGTTCGAGAAGTCTTGAAGGATGTTTTCCTTCCATGGTACAATGCATATCGCTTTCTGATTCAAAACCTGGACAGATTAATCAGAGACAATGAAGTTTGCAAATTTGAATTTGTTGAAAATGCCCCGCTAGATAAGTTGTCTGAGAATGTGATGGATCGCTGGATTCTTTCATTCACTCAGTCATTGCTTCAATTTGTGAAACAAGAGATGGCAGCATATCGATTGTACACTGTTGTTCCACGTCTTGTCAAATTTATTGACAACCTTACCAATTGGTATGTCCGCATGAATAGAAAAAGACTGAAGGGTGAGGGTGGAGTACAGGATTGCCATCATGCCTTGCATACTCTATATCATGTCTTGTACTCAGTTGTATGTGTAATGGCTCCTTTCACACCATTTCTCACTGAGCACATGTACCGCAATCTGCGTCACTTTCTGAAAGCTGATGCCATAATGGATAGTGTGCATTATCTTATGCTACCTGAACCTAGAAATGTTTTGATCAGTGAGGATATAGAACGAGCTGTGTCACGCATGCAAACTGTTATTGATCTCGGGAGAGTGATACGGGATCGTAAAACCATACCTGTGAAGTATCCTTTGCCTGAAATTGTGGTTATTCATCAGGATGAGCAGTATTTGCAAGATATCGCCTCTTTCGAGCGCTATATTTTAGAGGAACTAAATGTCCGCTGTGTGACTATCACAACTGACAAGAAGAAATACGGTGTAACACTTAGAGCTGAACCTGACCATAAAACCTTGGGAGCCCGACTAAAAGGTGCTTTCAAACCAGTAATGCAGGCCATTAAATCTCTGACAGATTTAGATCTACAACAGTTCTTATCCAGTGGGCACATGGAACTTTTGGGACATAATATTGGGCCAGCAGATGTCCGTATTATGTTCAACTTCAGTGGTGACACTGCTGGTGAGTTGTCACATAAATATGAGGCACATGCTGACAATGACTTGTTGATACTATTGGCTACAACGGCCGATGAGGCAATGCAAGATGAGGGTATAGCCCGTGAAGTGATAAATCGCATTCAGAAGCTGCGGAAGAAAGCTCACCTGGTTCCATCAGACCCAGTGACGGTCTTCTTTAGTGTGAGTCCGCCAAATAGCCAGTTGCAGCGTATTACTATGTCACATGCTGACTTCATAGAAAGTACATTGAAAGTTCCTTTACGTCCAATGACTAAAATGCAAGAACATGCTTGTTCATCTGTGGTGATAGAGGAAACTCAACAGCTGAAAGGTTCTTTGCTAAACTTAGTAGTAACTCATGGTTTTTGCCAAGGCTGGTGCTCAGATACAGATACAAAACAAGTAACATCATCTCAAGCCTTTACTCCTGAGCCCTTCTGCAGATACGTTAATGTTCAGCTGTGTGGTTTACAGCCAACATTTGGAACAAGGAGTATGTGTGGTGTGGTTTTGCTAGAAAATCCATTTCAAGAAAACCTGATCTCAGTCCAACAGCTGAGAGAAGAAATTGAAGTTTTGTTTGGTTTGTATGGCCAAGATTTTTACTTTTCCATTTCTAATAATGGGCCAGAACTGACACTTACGCAAGATCTGGATCACTTACATAAACAAATACTTTATGTGTATCGTAAAGGAGAAAAGAGGCGTGAGAATTCAAAACAGCTCTTGAGTCATAGCAACTCTGGTCCATTTTGCAAGTTTATGAATGTGGAATGTAATGGCAAGAAAGGAACAATTATGCTTGAGAACCCATGTGGGGATAATGTATCACAGACAGATGTGGTGCAACAAATGAAACAAGTTGGTTACATATTTGGAATAGATGCAGACAAGCTGGAATTTACATCAGATATCGGAGGAAATTGTGGATACCAGAAAGTAAATGTAAAGTAGCTATAGTTGAAAGCAGGTAACATTCAATTTACATTCTTTTCTATCTGGTATAATTCATTGCTCCTTTTTCTTGTGAAGGACAGGACAGTATGAACACATTTATTGACTTGCAGATTTCATTTGGCCAACAGTTTTTCATATTTCTTAGTTTGTTATTTAAAGAGCTCAAAGAGCTTAGTCTTTACAATTTTCTAGAAGGTTATTATTCCTCACCCCATTTGAGAATTTTTGTGTAAGGAAGAGGTTCTTCCTGCTTAATTTTCTAGTAGATGACTTTGTTTTTGCATTAAGAGTAGTATTCAGTTGCTTGCAAAATGTTTTCATTAAGTGACCAGCATCATTTTCTTTCTGGGACTTGAGAGTAGCAAATATGTGTCTCACGGAAAGAAAAACTAACCATAATACCATAATATCATCTGGGAAGTACTTGTGATGTCTATGTATCTTAAGATGAAAATGGAATTTGATAAGGACATTTTATTTTCCGTCAAAAACGGGTAAAAACAAAATCAATATAAGCAGAGCAACAGATACACCAGATTTTAATTTTAATTTTGATAGACCTGACGATGATAGAATTGTATATCGAAACATGTCGTCAATTTTAAAAATGTAACAATTTTATGTGAAATTTTATGTGATTTTAACAATAAGCTTGTGAAACGACGGAAAATAAAACTATTGTATTGAGGAACACAAGCAGGATGCAATTAAGATATAAGATATAATATGAGAAAGAGTTAATTTGGCATAGAATTTGTTTAGTTTGCAACAGATTATGCATCTGAAATCTTATTGCTACCCTTATTTAATTGAGTAAATCTCAAGTGTAATATAGGATCATCAGCTGTTTCTTTAAAATGAATGTGCTTTACATATTTAAATTTGTACTTTTAACTGTTGCAAGCAGCCATTTATTTGTTTACTTTGCTGTGTTCTAATAGAAGATTTCTGGTAATTGGAAGGATTATCATACAAGTCATATTTATGTAGTATACATTTTTATATTATTATTAGGTCTTATTGTGATGAATAAAATAAGACAGTTGTTTTCATTATACATTTAATAATGTATACCAGCAAGTAAATTTAGGTTTGTTTCCCAGAATTGAATATTTTGCTGTTGTATTTTGTAATACCTTGAGGATAATAATTTAATTAAATTGTATTGATTATTTGTTGATATGGGGAAAGCAGTATAGATGTACAGTGTTTGTGCGGAAATACTATTCCATGGAAACAAAACAAGAATTACACTGAGCATTGTTTTTGATATATTTTGTTCATTTCGCTTTGCATTAAGTTAAATTGAAATATGGTTTCCAGAATTGTTTATACCATACAATTTATATGCTGTTAGGGCAAGCATACTTTTGAAAATATTAAAAATGTTAATCAAACAAATCTTTTTTGTTTTCAAATAACCCTGTTAAAAATGTCACATTTTTAGAGATAGAATTTTATCAAAACTTTCCATCTTTTCCCATGCACCAGAATTAAGTTTTAAGATAGACAGTTAGTGCTTCTTGTAATGGAAAGTTATCATGTTCAGGTTTTGACTGGTTATAAATATTGAAGAGTAAGTTCTGACTGGAAGGTTTTTATGGTGAACCAGTTTTTCAGATTGTATGACATGATGGCCATTTTAATTTTTTACAACAGAGAATACTTTATTATACTTGTCCCATGTGTATATTAAAAAGTTGATGTACAAAGAGAGAATTGTTTATTTTATCCATAAAACATATGATAACACTTTCTCAAATACTTTTTGAAATAAGGAGAGTTCAACTGATTTTAACACGAGTAAAATTAATCTTTCCAGTGAGAAAGTAGAACTGTTGTGAAGGAACAGTATTATCAGGTAAAGTAAACTGCTTTATATGTTGTCCATCTGTGTTACTTGTTATGCATTAAATACAAAGTATTTTTAACAGTACTTCATTTTAATCCTGAGAACTGTTTCCACAGTATATATAGTTTCTTGAATTTCACAATAGTTTGCCTTTTTTTCATTTTCTGCAAACAAACTTATGTAAGACACTCATAAGTTTCTTCTTCAGGACTTGATAAATATGGTATTATTTTAATTTCCTGAAATAAATAATGAAGCTATATAGCTTTATAGAAATGGATAAATGTCAAATCATATGTATAAGTAAAATAAAAGTACAGTATACTTACTTCATCCCCCAAAAGAGAATTCCAGTCTGATGGTAGACTGCATTCTTTTTCTGAATTAATTGGCTGCAAATGATGAAGTATTTGGTTTTTTGGTGCAAATTCTGTCAGTTCAGATGGTTTGGTTGCAATTCTAATTATTCGTGTCCTTCTAGTATACTTCACTCTACACCAAGAAGTCATATCTGCTGATGTTTCCTCATCTGTGTTACATCCACATATGGATGATAAGTTATCAGCTGAATATCTGTGGTCAGTGTTTGGATTAATACATTCTGAATCATCTACAATGTATTCACAGTCTGTCTTCCAATTGGATACATTTCTTGACTTCGCAGTGTATAATAAATTTGTTTCAGCATTCTGTGACTTTTGTTTAGGTTTAAACTTTGCTAGAGGTTGTAAAAAGCAATTTTCTGAGGTATAATCAGAATCAAGTTTTCTTTTGTGATTAGTCTGCTCATATTCATCGTCTGTAGACCAATCTGAATGAATATTAATGGTGGAGTATGTGGATGATGGTGAAGACAAAATATTGTTTTCATTAGTTCTTTCATTAATACCTTTTATAAGTATAGGTGACTCTAGATTTGTTGGAGGATAATGTATTGAGTATGACTTCAGATTTGTATTAATATGTGTGTCTTCAATTTTATGTTTGTACCAAGTATCGACGTCAGTGGCGTTGGATAATGCTGATGAAGAACTTTGGTAATCATATTTCTCTGTTTCAGCTTTGTCCTTTACGTCAGCATTATCTACCCATACTGTTCTTTCAGTTTGGTGCATTTGTGTTCCGAGAAGTTTATCACTTTTAACATTTCTACTAAGTACTCCATTTCCATAAAGACAATTAAACCGGGATTTTGCACATGGTGTTGAGTAGTGTCCATGTGGGAATACATTGCTCTGATCTGCACTATTAGAACAACTTCCATCTTCTTTTCCAGAATGTGGTCTGTCAAGAAAGGTGGTTTGGCAATCTGTGCCAACTCTTTTATTGCCAGGGTCTTTTAAAATGTTTGAAAGGAATGCATAATCACTTTGACTTGCTGGATGTTCTCCAGGATCAACAAACAATTTTTCTGCAAAACATCTGAAAATACAAACTGCTCATGAAAATATTGTACTGCTCTAGAGTGATTCATTTATACATGTTGGTAACCATCCCCCAGAAAATTTGACACCAGTTATTTGTAATCACTACTATGCAATTTTGTATTGTTTTGGCTGCTTAATTAATTATTACTAGTACTACTGTTGTCTATGCATAATAATGCATGCAGAAAGCAGTACCCGATTGATGCCTGGGTGTAGATGTTCATTCATGCTGTTCCAAATATGTACTAAAATTTCTAACAATTTAGAAACTACAATACCTGTTAGGATCATGCATTCTATCAAGGAGTGTATGATAGGATGTATTAGCAGTGTGTGAATATAATGTTTGATGCTCTTGTTCTCTTTCTGGAGTATCTATATCCCTCGAAGCCATTGCAGAAATAATCATTTTCAGAGGTAAACGTTTTCGTGGCTGCATACATGAATTATTTTCTATTCTAATACCAGTCATTTTAAGTGTTGGAGCTGTGTCTGCTGTTAGTATATGATCCTGGAAATAAAATATTAATTCTTAATGTGTTAAGTATTAATCACAGCAATATATGCTTATACAAGAACTAGGTATGGTTTTCACTTACATCTTCATCAGCTTTTCTCACTGCTGTGGCAGTTACTAAAAGTGACTGAAGTGCATTAAAATTATCTCTCATTTTAGATAGTTTCAAATGTAACCTTGTGATTATTAAATATGAAAAAGTAATATATTATTTGTACTTGATTGTAGAATTATTTTCTTGTTTTCATATATGTCATTCAGGTGTGTTGGGTAATGTCCCACATATGCTGCCTAGTTTTCTGATTTTTGAAATACTGTTTTGTGTACTAAACATTCAAAGAACAGAATTATTGTAAAATGGTAGACCACTTTAAATGATATGCATTAAAGTAGTGCCAAACAAGCTTTTTATTTTAAGTATACGAAGCACTGAGCATCCTTAACATGAACGTAATATAGTGGTGAAGTTCTTTTGTTTTATTACAAAATGAATTTGATTTGCCCGCTATCAGAAAATTCTTTGTAGGATCAGTGCGTCCACATTCCAAACTTCGAATTTTTTCTTTGTAGTTGAGAAATTTCCCTGTTCGAACATGGCTGATTATAAGATTAGAGATTTTATGTTTTCACGACAGTGATCCTGTCCGTTATGGTTTTCTGTCATATGATGCTGTGTAGTATTTTTTAGTGGTTGCTTCTGTTTTAAAGAAATTGGTGGAGACAAAATGTTCTTCCAAAATGGTAAGACATCACAACCCAGAAGACCACATTCACAGAGAGAGCGTTTCTGAACACACCACCCGGTAATGAGACAGACCGTTGGTTCAAACTTTTGTATTATTATCTGTGGATGTGTATACGTTAGGAAGTTTTTTATAGTGGTCGCGTTTGGGAATACAATTCTCTTCGTATCTCGCCAATGGAATGCACGAAAAACATGTGGACATCTATTTTTGACAATTTGTGTACGGTTTAGTTTCGAATGTGACGTAAAGGACAACAAATTATTGGGAAAGTTTCTCTTGAGGAGAATTAACCGAAGTCTGGAGGGTTTGTCGTGTCTCGTTGAGCATACATGTAAACTTGTTGACATCAGTAGTGTGCATTTTGATAAATGTTTTCTCCGTTGCCTAGTATAAACTATGGACAGTAGTGTATTTGGGAATGATAAGGAATGCGAAACGTTATCTTTATAAAAGTGTGACAAGAATCAGTGTTAGAAATGTAGTGTGTATGTTTTGAAACGATGAAGCAAAGAAAATCAAGAATGCTTCTGTTAATGTTAGTGTGAATGGGCTATGGCATATTCGGTGGGTTTAATATTAAATTCCGATATTTGTGTTATTTGTGGCATTATTGCCAGTGGATATAATGTTTAATACGCGTATCTAAATTGATGCTAGCCGAATTGAACCAGGTTAGATTTTGAAGTTCAAAGTGCATAGTTATCTCATAACCTATTAAAATAAGATGGCTTGGAAGTTATTAGTAGTGTACTGCTCTGTGTTTAGTGTTTATTTATAATTTTGTGTTGGCAGGTGTTTGGAATGTGTACTGAGTCCTGTGATTTATATAGTTCAGGCATGTTTACCTTCTCTGCCTAAATAACCAAACGTTTTGGCAGATAAAAAAATTTAAGAACATATTTACAGAAATTTGTCACCACTAATATGCAAATTTGAATGGAATTAGAACAGCTATGTGTGTTTGTATTTTAATAAATATTGCAAAATATATGAAAACACCAAGTATATATAATAACTTATCTTTTATGATAATGCACAATTACAGGTCACAACACGGAAGGCTCATACATAGTGATATAGTGATATAGTGCACTACATCACAAATTTTGAAAGCAGTGAAGGTTTAACTAGCATCTTAGATTGGAAAGTTGTATAGTCCCTCCTCCCCTCAAGCCTACACTGTGCCTGTGCCTAATTGTGCCTATACAAACAGATGGATAACACAAGCCTGAACGAGGTGGCTGACATGGGCTGGTTGAAGCTGGTTAATGATGTATTTTTAACTGATTGCTTCTGCTATGTTGCTAGTATAATAACATGTTTCCAATATTTTTGTTTCAGTGTGTCCAGGTTTTGTTTGAAATTGGGCATGAAGCAGTTATTCGAACGAAGCGCTCACCAAAAGGTTTTACACATGACTGGGAAGTGTTTGTGCGAGGCGCTGATAACACTGACATAAACCACTTTGTGGATAAAGTTGTGTTTCATTTACATGAGACATTCCCAAAACCAAAAAGAGGTGAGTTATTTTACTTGTAATATCAATGTATTTATTGCTTTTGATGATGCCTAACATGTAGATTTTCATAGATATTTTATTTTATTCATAGGTTTCATATATTTTTTCATAGGTATTTTGTTATAGCACACATTGAAGGGACGAGAAATTAGTTAAAAATTGTATGGATACCTGACAGAGATAAAAAAGATAACATTGAAATGAATCTTAATAAATAATGAAAATTACTTTTGTGCACTATATGAAGAACTACTTATAACTGAATTATTTTATTATCTAATGTGTTAATCAATTTTCTTTATGTTTCTGTAGTTGTCAAGGACCCACCATACTCAGTTAAAGAAACTGGTTATGCAGGTTTCAACCTCCCTATTGACATCTGCTTCCGAACTGGAGACGAACCCAAAAAGGTCCGTTTCAACTACGATTTAGACTTACAACCAACAAAAGTGCAGCGTGAAACGTATGTTTTTCGTAACCCAGACGAGGATCTGAGACGTCGACTGATTTGTGGAGGAGGGGTATGTATATTTTGTTATTTAGTCAACATATATTGATTGCTTTTGGGAATTGAGATTCTCACAGCAATATTGATGTCATTGCCTGTCTTCTAGGTTGTAATGCCATGTGGACTTGTAGGTGGATATTAATATTTTGGGGAAATATAATATCTCTATCTTTATGGCTTCTTTCAAATTTTCAACACATGGTTATATAGTGATTTTATTTTTGTCAGTTTCTGTGTTTTTTGGGGGACTTCAAATTCAGTTTAGATGCACAGTACTTTGGAAACTGAATTATAAATGTTTGAAGGTATTTAAATAGTTCATGTACTATACCAAATTTACACATTTCTTCATATCTGCCAAAAAAAAAAAACCTTTGATAATTTACCTGTCAGGATGGAATCTACGCTTGTGATGACAGTTCCATATGTGTATGGTGATAACTCCAATGTAAAAATGTGATTTTGAGAACTGAAGAACTCTCTAATGGTAACTCGTTGCTCTTTGCAAAATTTAACATAGGTGATAATCACAGTCACATCGTTAACTGCAGTTGAAGGAGCTCCTGGCCTGTCGAGTTTCTATTTGAATCCTGACCTTCTTTGAACCATTGCATTTTCCCTGAAAGCCTCGTTTAACAAATTATGTGCTTCATTTACAGTTTTCTTTAAGTGATAATAAAATTTAGGCGCAGCATATTGATGAATGTGTGACTTTGGGGGTGAGACAAGTGTAGCTTGTAATCAAGATCACAACACAAGCAGAACTATACATGCAGCAACCTGTAACTGCAAATGCTAACCGAAACCTACCAGCCACCATAAATGAAAGTTTCCTCAACAGCCCTCATACTAAAACTAATAGACAGTGTAGAATTATTGGAAATGTTTTCTCATGTATTTAATGTAGGTGGGTGTGGGCTCAGATTCTGCTGTCTCTAGCCATTTGACACCTGGAGAAAAGCCCAGATCTTCTCCAGCCATTGCTGCTTCAGCTGATGAAGCTCCTTCAGCAAAACCACTTGTTCCACCTCTTGTTGGCAAACCTAAGTTGGGTGGGGACCCAACCAAGAAACTCAAAATTAAGGTAAGTTGTTAAATTAAATGTACATCATAGAATATATAATATCATTTGTAAGACAGTGACATTGTTTGAATAATTTATTCTTTATTTTTCCATAATTTTTTCTTTATTTTTCCATAGGAGTATCGTTCTGAAGAATCACGGGCCAGCAGCTCTTTTCATGAGTTGTTTGGGACACCAATCAAAACTACTAAAGCTTCACCTGACCCCAAAAAACCGTCTCCATCACCCAAAGTGTCACCATCACCGAAACCTGTCAAACCTCCTGACAAACCAAGTAGTGACAAACAGGTTAGTGGAACTAAACCTGTGAAACATAGTGTGCAAAAAGATTCACAAGAAAAAACTGGCAGCAGTTCAAAGGAAGAGAAAAAAGATAGGAATAAAGATCGTGACAAGAACAAAGAGAAGGCAAAGCATCCAGCTACACCACCCAAACGACCCCCTTCTCCACCAAAATGCCCACCTTCTAAGCCAACAAAAGATGATCCCAAGAAAGTTCAAGTTGAAGAACCTAAATCAAAGAGTGATTCAAAATCTTTGGGCGATTCAAGTAAAAGTGAAAAGAAGAAAAAAGATAAGAAAAGTAAGGATGAGAAGTCAAAGAAAGAAAGACACAAGGATCATGAGAGTAAGTCTTGTGAAAAGGTAGAAAAAGTTGAAAAGCCACAATCTAAGGACAAAGAAAAGGAGGCAGCTAGGAAACCAGAGAAAGAATCAAACAAGGAAACAGATAAGCATAAAGAAAGAGAAAAATTGAGCAGTGATGGCAACAAAGAGCGTGCTAGGCACAAACATAAGAAGAAGGAGCGGAGCCAACGAGATGAGACTGGAAAAGAGAGAGACCGAGGCAAGGAGAAAGGAGTAAAGAAGAGTTCATCAGATAAAAAAACAGTTGAAACCAAGGATCGGGACAAGAATGGTGTAACATCTGATGCTAATAAGAAGCGTTCACGTAGTCATTCTCATAGCCCGCATCCTACTTCGTCTCCCACCAAACCATCACCCTCATCAGAGAAATTGGTTCATCCAATTGCAGTGAAGGACAAGCCTGTGAAACGTCCTCTCACTAAGCTGTTTGATGAATTGAAGGATCACGAATCAAGTGATTCTAACCTGTCTCCAGATGAGGACTCGATTGAACTTCCAGTTCCCCAAGTAAGCAAATTATCTGCACCTGTGCAGAACAGTGGCAAGTTAGAAACTGCACCCAGACCTGATGTTCCAAATAAAAGTGTAGTAAATACAAGTAATAACAGCCATTCAAATAGTAGACAGGCTACAAAATCTAAGCCTGAAAGTGCAAACCAAGAGAGAAATAGTCTGCCCAAGGTAAGTAGTAGTAAACAGAAGCATAAAAGTGCATCAAAGAAAAGTAAGGAGAAGAAAGGATCTAGTGGTAGTAGTGGGAAGGATGAAAGCGGGAGACGAGCAGATAAGGATGTTGGCAAGAAAAGGAAACATAAGAGCAGTGGTAAGGTGAAGGAAGAAGAATCAGGTGGGGGTGGGAAAGAAGATGGTGCACCAGCTCAGAAATTATTAAAACTGGATCCTGAGCTGAGTAGAACAAATGATCCTGTTGAATGGATATCCACCGAGGTGTCAGTGCAAGCTGAGGTGAGTACAACAACAGCTTCAGCTGATGAAGTTCACCCTGTAGAAATGTTTGACACCCCTGTTGTGGCTCCTGCCGCCACCACCGCCGGCTCACCGGCGCAGTTCTCACCGGACTATGTCTCACAGCTGAAAGATCTACAAAGAAAAATTATGACACTTGAAGACAATGCTGAGCTGCAGCGTGTAGTGCAAGTAATAGCCGAGACAGGCCAATATGAAATTACGAAGAAAACGTTTGACTTTGATTTATGTGCGTTGGATCGAAGTACAGTAAAAAGGTTGCAAGATTTTTTTACAACGTCATGACAACAAAAAGATGGGTATATTTTGGAGGAAGCTGGAATTGTTACAATAAGCTTGGTATTGTGTTCGATACCTTGCTCAACTCAGGAAGATCTGCCGAAGGTTCAGTGTAGTTAATATTATAGTCATATTATTTATGTCATAGTTTCCAGTTGGAGCAGAACTTCTTGAGATGTTTCTCACTGTAGTTCCATTTTATTTTTCCAGTTTGATAAACTTCCAGTTTATAAATTTACTTTTCAGTGTAGAGCCAGTAGCATCTGGTAACAAATCTCTATTTTATAATTGGACCAAGGTGTGAGCAATTATATAAATGCTCTATAGGAATCTTATCCTAATGTAAAAGGAGTATATTTTGAAAAGGAAGACTTGAATTCAGGATTTTTTTAAATGTGAGTATCAAGGATCCATTATCAGGAAGCATGGAAGGCGCTTGTAGTTTCAAATGTTAATGGCAAAAGTAGAAAAAGTGGGATACTACTTAGACATGCTATCCTGCATATACAAAATTTTCAGAGTTCCATGTATGTGTTCAGAGTAGTATTTAGTATTACAGTTTGACAGATCATTGAACCCAATTTTTTTAAATTTAATTTATACTGCAATTAGTGAAAATATTCTTTCATGTTTGTTTTTGGGTGTAGTTTGCAGTGTCACTCGTTACGTGCACTTTATGAATTTTAATAAGATTTCCTTTCTCTGATTGTGTTATATAAAGATAATGAATTTACTTCCAAGTGAAAATGTATATGTGTGGATATTAAACAGTTGGTAAATGTTTAGTAAATTTTGCACCTACTCTGTTTCATTGAAGTTGCAATACTTTTATATTGCCATATTATACAATGGTACTTTAAAGTACCACGTGATAAATTCTTCTATTAATGTTATTGTTTAAATTTTAAAAGTGTAATAATTACTATTATATGCAGTTTTTGTTGTCATATGTTGTTTTTGTTAAGCAATGTTTATTTTGTGTCAGGATCTCGATGTTATCTATTTTTTCTACGTTCTCTGTACATAATGTAATAAATTGAATGTTGCTAAAATATGAAATACTTGTACACAAACAATATTGCTGAGCCCATTCATAATCACCCTGTCATACATCTGAAAAAAGGAAGTTGAATGTGAATGAAATTTTGTTCACCTGTTTTATACCTCTGAGTCAATGCTATTTGTTTAGTGGCATTTTGTTATGAATGCTTTGCTTTAATATTTTCATGTAATTACAGAAACTGAATACCACTATTAACTGCTATAATACACGAAATACCAGTATGATATTCTTCAATTGAATAAAAATTTTCTTGGATATTATCCATCGTCTAGTAAATATAAAACGTAAAACGACGTTTCGGAGATGGACTCAATCTCCGTCTTCAGGTTCCTACACAGTTGGGCCCACTAGATAGAGCTAATCCCTATCTCCGGACAAAGTAAAAAGTGAAAGTCCCAGAATAAGAAGGCATTACCACACCATCCATCCGTGGGACGTAAAAGAATAGTATGTAGAAATCAAAATTTATAAACACGATAAAGCCAAAAACAAAAACAAAAAACTCACAAAAGGTGGGAATAAATACACATGAATATCAGCTCGAAACTTGATGCCCAACTTTGATTTCTTCAGAGATTACAGGTATCCAAATAGGAGATAAATCCAAACTAGGCTGGCTGATAGGGTTGGTGAGTAGTGCCATGTGTGCTGCCACCTTGTATTTTCTGTAGATGGTATTGGGTTCTGTTAATAATACTCTGACTCCCACCTTTTGTAAGTTTTTGTTTTTGGCTTTATCGTGTTTATAAATTTTGATTTCTACATACTATTCTTTTACGTCCCACGGATGGATGGTGTGGTAATGCCTTTTTATTCTGGGACTTTCACTTTTTACTTTGTCCGGAGATAGGGATTAGCTCTATCTAGTGGGCCCAACTGTGTAGGAACCTGAAGACGGAGATAGAGTCCCATCTCCGAAACGTCGTTTTATGTTTTATATTTACTAGACGATGGATAATATCCAAGAAAATTTTTATTCAATTGACTCTTCACCATCATCAAGAAGTTTTAGATTTGATATGATATTCTTCATTTACATAATTTGGTAGTTTCATAAAATGAAAATTTTTACCAGAAAACCCGTTCTTACCTCTTGTACGACTTTTTAAAGTAGTAGAATTGTACTGTATGTGATCTAGATATGTATACATGTTATACTGCAGGAGCTATTTATAATAAGAACTGAGACATTACCCTGCGTTGGTATATGTGCCATATTTTTTCTCATTGCAATATTGAATTTATTATTACTGCTATTTTATTATTTGTCAACAATAAGTGGCAATGTTTCATTACTTGTTGAAATTATCTCTGTTGAATATGAAATCCATAATGCAAAATTACAGGAGGATAACATTTAGCAATTATGTATTATGCAAATGAAGTGTGAAAGAGCTTTATATTTCAGTTGAATTAGAATACACTAGAATCAGAAGAGTAATGATAAATATTGCAATATAGAACATGTCAACGGCATGTTCTCAGACATTAAATTTCATGAGTTTTGTATAATGAATTCTTAGATTTTGGGCAGCAGCTAACCATGTAATTTCATTTAGTGTTAACATGTAGATATTTTGAGAGGTCTAATCTGTGGGATAAGTAATAAATTTGAAAGTGTTTCAAATTAAAAATGTGGAAGATTAGTTGAATGTCTTAAGGTGAAATTTAGTGAGAAGTGCTTGGTTGTGGAACTGATGAGTGTCAGCTATTTGTGGGGACTGCTATATGTGTTTTTGAACGTGAAAAGACAACTCCCATGTGACAAGCAACCACATTATTTATTAAATATACCATTTGGATTTCTCTATCTTTGTCTGTTTAAAATGATGACATTTGGTAGGCTGCCCTTGTCTTAGTAGAATTTGAGGTTCTCGTTTTCATGAGAATGAAGATGGTTGTCTTCTGGGTTGTAGCACCATAAAGTCTGGTAGAAGTTCACCGACATTTCATAGGTACGTGCAGCCTCAATCATCAGGATGATGAGTAAATTTTTACCAGACTGCGTGACAACATCCCAGGAGACAGCCATCTTTACTGTTGTCTTTATTACTGTAGCAGTAGATATTTCTAATGATTAAAAGTGATGTGTGGTTAATTCTTTCAATTAGTTACACTACAGAGGTAATCCTCTTCAAATAATGTATATTTGATATTAATGGATATACTGTAAATAAAAGCAATGGCCATTTAACACTTGGCACCTACATATAACTACAACTGCATTGGCATACAAAAGGGATTATGTGTTTTGCTACTCTGTTACTGTATAATGATCTCGTATAATTCTATAGTCCCACAAAGTAATAGAATTATAAATTGTGTGGTCCAAGCTAAATACTATTTGAAGAAGAAGAGTGTGAAGGTGACAGACAGCCTTCTGGGATGTTGTGCTAGAGGCAGTAAGCGTCTGAAACGTTGGTCCGTTTCTATGCGGTGTAATATTTGAGAAGACAAGTCATATTGACCATCATAAGAACATTAAATCTGTCATAACATCATACTGAAAGAAAGGAAAGCCTCAGATTAACAAGGCAACTCATGCATGATAATTGACACTGAAAAAATATTTTTTATTTATTATGAAAACACCGTAGTAGAGTAACTAATGTTGTATAAATTTTTTTCTGTGCAAGACTCTTCCATGATATTAGCAACTGATACTCCTTTTTCTATTTTCTCAGTATTCTTCTACAATATTCAAGTATGTTTTCTTTCCACCCTACTTATATTAGAGGCTTGAGGGGACCAGATTAAATGGTTTCTGTTTTAAAGTTGTCCAGACTAGTGACATCATGTGATGCAGAACTTAAACACATGCCACTGAATGCATGGACTGGTGTGCTGGATGAATATAAATATGAACCACTGTTTCATCCTGCTACTAACCAGAAATTTAGAAGAGAGTGCGAGTTTTATTAAAAATGTTGCTTATGTTACACCCCACAGTTCACCTGATCACAGTATATTTCTCCACATGAATCATCTTGTAATGATGTTTTTCAGTACCTAAAATGCAGGAGTTTAGGCAACTTTACAGGGAATAAAGTGTGACATGTTTTGAAAAAATAAGGTGGATTCTGGTTTTTCAGTCGTGAAATAAGAAAATTTTCACTCTGCTGTATCAAAAGATAATTCAGAGGAGCAGCAGTGTAAAATTGTGTGAATGGCTTAGACGTGGTTTACAGTTTTAACCCAGTCACTATTTGCTGTGGAATTGAAATGTTTACTGTTGTGTGCTTGTCAAAAACAAAAACAAAATTAGGCATTAGGTGTTCCAATAATTTTGTTTTTGCTAACATTACAGTGAATCGTCGTTCTTCACATCATTTCATGGTGTTCAGTGTGATTTTAATACATGTGTATATATGAAGACTTTTGTTCTATGTTCCTACTACAAGACTGCATTTGTTACTAGAGCAGATTATTTTTGGGTTTTAAAAAAACGTATGATTTTATGAATTTATAAGTATTAATAGTTACAATCAGATACTACAGATGAAAAAGGCTTCCAGTATACTCTATAGACAATTTTTTGGCTGTCAGAGTGTGCTTAGAATTGTGATAAACTCCATGAAACCTGAACAGCAGGCTCGTGCAATAGTGATAATGCCTCATGTAAGTAGCATAAATTAAGCCAGTCAGATAATTTGTGATGAAAAATGCATGATCTAACATTTTTTTTATGGAAATTGAGAATTCCACCTCCACACTTAGTGCATAGCACCACCGAATAAACGAAAATTGTAACTGAAATACTGTATGTACATATAAGAAGAGTGGCAAGGCATAACTCTGAGCACTTACCCCAATCTGGTGCTAAGGTCAGGATTGAGTAGGAGCTATACCTACTCTGCATCACAAAGGCTCGTTTATGGCATGTATTGGGAATAGCCTTGCTTACCTAGAAGTCTGTCATACTGACTCATATTATCATGTCTGTAGTTTGTTTCATTTATTGAGTTGTAATTTGTATTACAAGACTATCAGGCTCTACATACACCAATGCAGGGTAGACACACGGCATCAGTGAATTATTTTAAAACTATAGAAGAAACTGAATCTATGAATTTACAGCATTATTGGAAATCATGTAAATCTAGTAACACTGCAAGGTGAAAATATCTTTGATTATAGTCTTATTGTTATAATAAAAATCATCTTTGTTGTATACTATAAGGCTTACTATAGTTTATGAAGTTATTTACTGGATGGCTATCTTCTGGCTGTTTGATTATTTTTGTTACCCGTTATTTACATTTTACTAGTACATTGAAATGTTAAAATGTATTTATTTATATTTAAACTATTGTTGTGAAAGAAAGTGAGGTTCTGAGTTTTACCACTTTGTCATTATGTACATGTAATCTCTTTTGCTTCAGTTCATTTTTTGTTGCAGAAATTTTTGAAGAAGGTATTTAAACTAAACTTTTATTTTATACTTGACCCTTTTGAACGTAACTTATTTTATACTTGTCCCTTTTGAGGCTAACTATATGGGATACTGGACTTGATGGATGAAGCTTGTAAATTATTAACAGTTCTTTTGTTCATAACAGTTCATCGTTCAAGACAATCATTATTAAAGGGCATGATATCCAATTTCAAGTCATGACACATTCTCTCCTCTTCCTACTCCTAACTGAAACTAAGCATGAAAATTGGTTTGTTATACACACAAAGTATTAATCGATTCATGCTATGAAGCTGCGTGGGACTGTTGAAATTTTAGTCGATCTGTGTAGGGGACTTGGTACTCAGGTGTTTTGTATCCAAGGTAGGTGACAAAACACAACATATTAGAAAGGACTGCAGTATTTTGTGAATAAATTTCACTTTAGCAGCTTATTTACTTTATATTGAATTTGTATGTGTAAATGTATAAACCGCATAATTCAGTATAGAAATTGTAATTTAACGGGCAATCATTCTGAGAGATTCTGTAATATTTACAAAGTTAGTCTTTTATTTCTCTATTTTTTTTATTTAACATACATTATGTTACAGTTTCTCTTGGTACTAAATAGACCAATGAACATTTTACCTCATTCATCACATAATTGTTCATTGTGTATGAAACTTATGTTTCATCCACAGCAAGATATTTTACAAATTTTTGAGTATTTGGCAATGAATTCTGTCATTTAGTCGCAATATGAATTAATGCCATGTAGGTGCTGTATGCACATATTGCTGTTAGAAAGAGTTAGAATTCTGTATTGAAATATTAGAATATTAATTACAGTGAAAATAATAACAACAAATACAAATAACTATGCACAAAATTACGTTATCAGTTTTTTTATAATACATGCTTCAGTCATGCGTGATCATCAGGTTTCCAGTAGTTGTTTAAAACACTTTCATTACACATGTTAGCGAATATATATGTACATAATGAATGTTTAACAGTTAAAATATTAGTGTGACATGTCATGTAATAAAATATTGGCTACTTAAAGTTAAAATGCCATTAATAACTGTTTATATTTATTCTAGATGACAAGTTAAATAATTATAGTGTTATATGTAGTATGATGGAGTTTATGTTTTCAACATTAAGTTAAATATCTTTTAACAAAATATTAATAAGAACTTAGTTTTGGACATATTATGCATGTTATAGTAATTATATAAATTCATTAACTTATCAATTTATATGTTTTCACTTGAAATTTATTAATTTAACATTTATTACCAAAATATCTTTTTAACGTGTATAATGAATATGTGTTTTAAAGAAATGTGTAGGGACTCTGAAGATGATCGTGTAAGTTCAAAACATGTAGTTCATGTATTGTTATAAGGTATAATGAATATGTGTTTTAAAGAAATATGTAGGGACTCTGAAGATGATCGTCTAAGTTCAAAACATGTAGTCCATGTATTGTTATAATTAACATAATATAATCTTATATGTAGTTAATTGTAATAATTTTATTCTTGTGTGTGACTGATATTTATTTATGTGCTGTGATCAATGGAAAAAACTCTGAAATTAATGAACTATTGAGTGTAAAATCATGTGGAAACTTATCACAATAATGGTTTTACAGTATTTGTAGCATGAAAGCTGTGAACATCTAATTAATGGAATATTTATGAATTGTAAGACATTATGATGTTTTATGACAGCATTGAATATGAACAACAGGAGTATGGTGATGAAATGGTTGATTATTTGTGTCATTTATGAAGATGAGAATGTTCAAAGTAATTTACAACTTAATTACCACATATTTATAAGTTTGCTAAATTATAATTATCTTGATTATTATGAAGTGACAATAACTGATTAAAACACTAGTGCATATCTAGCGGATAAATTGTTTTGTATCAAGGGGGAGATCAAAATTGGACAAACTGTCTCTTATAGTCATTGATTGCACAGTTTGTTAAATGTGATTAACAGATGAAAAATAGAATGCTTATTTTGCAAAACAGGTGTACTCAAATTTAACTATGGTGTAGGAAATTTTAATGCCTTGGTCATACCCTATGTGGAAATAATCATCATATTTTTAGGCACTAATGATCTTTAATGCATGAAATTAAGTGTTTGATCAAAATAATTTTGGATTTAGGCCTCAGCTTTTATTGAAAATATATATTTTTTCTATAATTTTGTGTTGCCAGATTTTTACCCCTTGTACTATTATGAATGCAGCAAAATAAATTGAAAAAAGTATTTGTAAATGAATTTGCACATGGATAAAAACATTGTATGATAACCATCCCATCATCTTCACATTACATCCATCAACTTCACATTAATAAAATGAAATGAATAACTTGAGGGCTGAAAAAATTTATACATATATGAACTTATGATTCATTATTCCTTTCTTGTTCCATATATTCTGAACCTGTAGTGAGTAAAATCATCTGAATTTTGTAGAAATCTGAAATATTAAAGCAATTTACAAACTTGAAGTAGATAATTTATTATTCATTAATTTTACAGATTCCCTAAATTAAAGTCAGTGAGCTGAAGGAGAGGGTTTGATTTTGAGACTTGAGGTTTTCATGTCTGTGGGTTGTAGTCTTCTGCATTGTTACCAGTGCTTTAGAGGAGAATGTTTTGAAGAAATATTACTGCCTCTGAAATGTTGGTCACCACCTACAAGACCTAAAGACCAGAAGACTATAATTCACAAGGATTGACTTCAGCTCTCATAGGCATGTGTTGAAAGTCCAGTACATCATAAAGTGATTCAATACAGTTAATCCCTTGAGCCTTTCTTAAAGAGTAAAATTCATTCAAATAATATATGAAAATGTGATTTTTACCTCCAAGAAAACACAGAATTAAGGTTACGAATGTAACTAAATTAGTGCTTTTTAGGAAATTGCTTTGCTTTTATTCTGAGACTATGGTTAGATTACAAGAGGTTAATGAGTTAGATTCATGGTGTAGCTTTTGTGCCCTTCATTGTTATCATGTGTGAGGTGTTAATATCAAACAATGGCACACTGATTTTTTTACATATCTTCTTTGTGCAGGTCGTGGTATTAAGTCTTGTCCATTGAGGCCTATTTATTATCTAATGGAGACATGCCTCTGTAGAAAGCATGTGGAATATTTTCATATTCATGTTCTGCTATATGATTAGTCATCATCACAGATTAAACATGTTTAAATAATTTGTATGTAGTATTTCTAAAATGACATAATACACATGTATATAATGTTCCAATTTAAAACAGGTACAAATTGAAACATGTTATGTAATAAAATAATTAATTACATGAAATTAATGTAGTTATAAAATCTTGTACATATATAGCTTCTATATCAGTTATGATAAATGCAGCAATAATGATTCTAGTTTTTGTTGGCCAATGCTACATTGTAGTGTATTTATCATTGTTATTTACATATCTTTAGTTTTATGATGACCAAGGATAGTAGTGTGTTTTGCAATACTGGGTGTGTATGCTTGGCTGTCCTACGTGATTTAATTTCATTCTGTAAATTATGGAATACAGTATTAATATTATGTATTTTAACCTAAGTAGCAGTAAAATATTAAGTTTGTGTGTGTACTTGACTTAATTTAAAATTTAAATAATGTGCAATGGCATGTCCAGGTGATGCACCAGCATTGATCGAAGGATGATGCACTTTCAGGAACTTTATGCAGTTGTATAGTTATTAACGACTGATCAGTCAGAGATTTTAGATTCTCTTGACAGTGAATATGTTGTTTGTGGTGCCATGTGCCTTGTATATGGTTACCATTATTTTGAAGCAAATGTATCACCTTCATCTTCACTTTACTGTTAGGAATTAATTTATGTCTACTGTAAATATAGTTCTTATATTTGTATTTATGTTTATGGTCTTCTTGTTTGTGGTGCCATGTGTCTTGTATATGGTTACCATTATTTTTAAGGAAATGTATCTCCTTCATCTTCACTTCACTGTAAAGAATTAATTTATATTTACTTTAAATATAGTTCTTAAATTTGTATTTATAGTTATGTGGGTGACATTTGCTTATAACCAGGGCAGTTGAGCCAACTAAAAATTAATTAAGCCATCTAGACCTTCTAACACTGTAAACATCTATTGAGGTTTTTAGTTTGTATGTTTTGTCTCTTTCTGATTACATTTTTAAAAAGGTAATC